TGTGGGCGTGGCCTGCCTCAGGCTGCTCCTCCAATATGGTGGAGCTGCGTCGGAGGGGGAACAGGTGGGAGGCTGTTTATCCCGGTGAGGGGCCTCTGAGCGCTGCAGGGGTTCGGGTGCCCAGAGTTCCCCAGGATTCGCAGCTGCTGGGCTAAGTGGCCCAGGGTGCTTCCGTCCAGCTGTGGGGTCCCTGTCCCTTTAAGACTTTCAAAAAGCACTCACTTTTGTTTGTCCCTGGGGTGCTGGCTGCGGGGACCCGCTCACAGGTCTTACTGTCCTGTTTCCCTCGTTTCCAGCACCCCACGCATGCACTGTGTCTGCGCTCTGGTCTGGATGGCTGGGGCTGGGTGTTCAGCCGGGAGATGGAGTGAGGGGCGCTCGGGTCCCGCCGGGCCACGGCTTGTATCTTACTCCCTTCGTGAGGCACTGGGTTCTCATGGGTGTGGATGTGGTCTGGCTATTGTCCTGTGTCTTCTGGTTTCTCTTTTAGGATTAGTTGTATTTGTTGTATTTTCAAAAATATATATGGTTTTGGGAGGAGATTTCTGCTGCTCTACACCCCGCCATCTTGGTTCTCTGTCTGAGATCTTATATCTTTATAGCTTCAGAAACCTGTAACTTCCTACTGCTGTTTATAAAGTTTAACTTGCTAGTGAGGTACCTCAGAGTTGAGTTCCAAGCCACCTTTCTAACCTCATTCTCTCATGACCCCTTGTACCCTATACAGTAGTTAAATTGCATTTTTCACCACTACCTGTCATTCCCAGGTCGTTTCACATCTCTCTGAATTGATTCATGCAGATCTGATGATGACATCCTTTCTCTCCTTGCTTGACAAATTTCTGCTCATCTTTGAAGTTTCACCTTGACATTTCTACTCTTATGAAACCTATCTCCCCAGTTAGAATTAATCACTCCTTCTTTTGTGCTTACAGATGACTTTATTCTTACAAGTTAGATATAACATTTATTCTTGGTTTTGTAATTATTTACCTTAATTGATCTCTTTCTCAACTGGATGCTTTTTAAAGAGCAGGCTCTTATTGTCTTTTATATCTTCTTCAGCATGGAGCATGCAGGAGATAGCCTGTAGTGGTGAAAAGAGCACTCTTTAATACCTAAGATTTCTGACTGGTTGAAATTTTGGTCAGCCACATGCTAGTTACATCAATTATTCTTTTGTACTAATGCCCTTTCTTTTTAAAAAATTTTTTGGTCAGTCACCTCAAGTCTCTTTACTCATGAGAATGAATTTGAGCTCAATGATATTTTTAAAGGATTAAAATGTTGATCATTTATGCAATCATTTCCAGGATCTCACCCTATAGAGAAATATGTCATCTATTCATTCTTGTGTTCTCAGAATATCTCTTTTCCCAATCAAAAATTCTCAAACTTCCTACCAATTCAATATTTGGGTATCTAATGCAGTGTGTTCGACATCATCTTTTAGGAATCCCGTGAGCATGCACCATATGTGTTCCAGGCCATTTACATCACACTGATGTCACTGTAATCCTCAGAATAACCATGTATAGTGGGAACTGTCATCTTCTTTGAGGAAATAGGCTCAGAAATCTTGACCACCATTTTCTGTAAAGTGGCAAAAGAAAATTCATGATGTTAGAAGATATGTAAGGAGAGGAAGCAGTGCCTTACTTAGGCATTTGACATTGAGGAATGATTAGGAAACGAGATTGCTACTCAGTGTAATCAAGGTATTAGTAATGTCTGAATCCCAGTGTCTGCAGAATCAAACTAGCATACAGAGCTTCTTGCCCTTGGAGATCGTTGGTTAATTGTGAAAGGAAACTTGGGCTTTCACACTGCAGGGATTTCTTTGACAGTTTCAGTGGCCAGAGCATCTTTCCAGGGGACAGACTTAATGTATCCTGTTTGAAAGGGCTTGTAAGCTTCCCTCAGAGGACTAGGTAAAGCACACAATCAATTTCTATATTTGAATGTGAAGGGCAGGGTCACAGTTGACCTAAACCAGATTTTCTCAACCTTGGTCGACACTTTCGGCTGTGTAGGTCTTTGCTGGGGGTGGGGAGGCTGTCCTGTGCATTGGAGGATGTTTAACCACATCCCTGGCCTCTACCCACTAGATGCTAGCAACAGCCCTTCCCCCACCCTGCCGTGACATTACCGGGTGATACTTGGGGGACAAGTCTTCCCTGATGGAGGACCACTGACGTAAACTGAGCTTTTACAGAGTTTAACAACTATTGTTTTGAAATCCCATAATGTGCATGGTGCTGGGTAATAAATAGGATCTTGAAAAGAGCCCACGCCCCTGAGGAGCTGATGACCTCTGGAACTTGCTGAGATCCTTTGACTAGATAAAATATTTCTAGTAGTTGACTGAAATAGCTCTGCTTGAGGCAATTAGCAAAAATTTGTTTCAAAGGAGTTTAACATCTGTTTTCATTTCTGCTTTTGTGAGTTGCTTTGCTACTCAATTCCTTTATTTTAGTTGCCTTCCTCTTAGAACTTAAAATATTTGAGTGTAAGTCAAAATTTCCAGTTTAATAGGAAACATGTTTTATTCAAACAAATAAGAATATTAATAACTTGAAATTAGAATATGATGGTGAAAATTTGATCAATGTTAAGTCAGGTTGAGATGACAGCAGAGTAGGTAGCAGTGAAGGCAACTAGAAGTCTGGTTGTATTTAAGATTCACTTCCTGTTCTTGTTTATCATTGGAAAGTTGCACCTTATGAAAGATTTTAGATTCAGATCATTGTATTATTCTAAGAAAAAAATTTCAAAATGCTAACCGCGTCTTGGTAACCATGGCAAAATATATACACACAAAAATAATCTCATACCTATCTTAGAGCTGAATTTTTTTCTGTATGACATCTGTAAAGCTCTGATTTTTCTAATATACTTTATTATCTGAAGTCAGGAGGGAGAAAAGGCATTCTCAGTTACAAGAGCACAGGCATGCCTGTTAGCTGAAGTAGTAAAACCGATTCTGGCTGACTGAATAGCCAGAGCTTATTATTAGAGTAGGTCAGAGAATATTTGGGAGGGCCAAGAACCAGTCTTAGATGCAACAAAGCCAGAACAACACTCGGAATTATCCCATCCTCTAAACTGGTATTATTTGCTTCCTTGATGCCTGATGTTGGTTTACAGAACAAGATTCGTGAGGGCAATTTGGTCTTTTTTTCAGCTCTTAACTTGTCACCTAGAACAGTGCCCAGCTCACAGCAGGCCCTTAGTAAATATTTGTTGTAAAAATTATTAGGCCAAGGATATGTTCATTAATATCAGCAACAGATTGGAGAAAAACATAGAGCAGCATTATGAAATGTTAATATTACACATTCTATTTGGAGATTTTTCTGGTGGTAGAATTTACTCTTAAGCAATCTTGATAAGTATAGTTATCAACTACCTTGTACCATAGAGCTTTGTTTTACATGTGTTCCTGGTTTGCATGAACAGCCACAACAGTCTTACAAGAATAGATATTACTGTGACCTTCATGAGAAAGTAGAGGTTTTGAGAATTGATTGAGTACTCTGGTCACATTTATTTAATTGGCAGAATCTAGATTGAAATTCATGCCTGTTTGACTCTTAGCTTAGGTGTTTCCCTCTGTGTAACACAGCCTAGTGCTACTTTCTGTTTTTTTAGGTAAAAAATGTACTTAATGGTCATCTGTTCACTATACTAGAAAATAATTTGAGTGTATAAGCTTATCAAACAGAGACTTCCTATATACATTTTCAACTGCAGTGTTGCAGATGTTTATAAAAGTAAATTTTAGGTCTAAAAATGACTTTATGATTGTATTCAAATTTTCTGCTAAAATAAGAAGTACAAAATAAATGTGTGCTGTAAGAAAATTTTCAGAACTGGAAGGAAAATACCCCATGGAATGGGTTCTGAAAAAGTACTGACTGACTCCCAGCATTTAGCTGTTAATTTCTTTTTAATTTAGTGGACAGAAGAAACTGCTGTTTTTCCTCCAACCTCCCAAATGCTGCTACTGCGTTTTATACTTTTTAAAAAATTGTGAAATAATTCAGGTTTATACAAAAGTTACAAGAGTAGGACAAAGAACTCTCTTACACCCTAAACCTAGATGCCCTAATTATTAACATTTTTATATTTGCTTCATCATTTTCTTTATTATGTACATGTGGTATTTTTTTCAGAATTATTTGGGAGCAAGTTGTAGATGTAGTGTCCCTTTACCCCTAAGTGCATCAGTGTGTATTACTTTATTCACATTTGGCAATTGTCCAAATAATGTCCTGCTTTATAGCAAAGAGAAAAAAACAGTCTGGTCCATGGTCCAGTACAGAATCACATCTTGCATTTAGTTGTTATGTCCCTTTACTCTTTAATCTGAAACAGTCCTCATTCTGTCTTCTTTGTCTTTTATGATCTTGGCATTTTAAAGAGTGTAAGCCAGTTACTTTATAGAAGATGGGATCTTATTTTAATAATGTGGGAAGACTGAAGTTTTTAAACGTGAAGAATTAGGTGAAAATAATTTGTACTTCCCATGTTTCTCTTGGTATAACCTGTTAAAGCTTTTCATTATAAAAATTTTCTATTGTAAAAGCAGAGAATATTAATAAAATGGGTCCTATTGCCCACATTCAATAATTAACATTTTGCCAACCTTCCTTCCTCTAGTCCCCTAAAAACTAATTACTTTAAAGTATTTTGAAGCAGTTTCCAGACACTATATTTGTTTAAGTAAGCTCTAAAAAGTGACATTTTCTTATATAACCATAGTAATACTTTCCTTACCAAAACTGTTTATAATTCTGTAATATTATGTACTACTAAAACTATATTCAGAGTTCTGCTGTGACTTTGGGAAAGGTTTTTTCATTTTATTTGCATTCGATTGTGGGATCTATTAAGTTTCTTCTTTTGCTTATTAGACCTTGCTTGCTTTTGGTGGCTATTTTAATGTTTTTACATGGTACATGTAGGTGATTAGCAACCAAAGCAGAACCAGGCCATGGGTTCCCAGCCCAGTGTGTTTTTTCTCTTCCTTTGTTGTAAGATAAAACACAACTGAAGTTAAAACTGTGTGGCATAGACTTTACAAAAGCCAAGTAAGTTGAGGAAGGGACGATGGGGAGCTTTGAGTGATTAAAGAAGTAAAGGAGGAGATAATGATGTGGGGTATGCCTGTGAGGAATAAGTGGAGGAAGGAGAGTAATCCAGCCAGGGAGAACCAAATACCTGTTATGATCATGGGGCAGAGAAAAGCCAGCTAGACCAACATGAAAGGTATGTATTGGGCAGTGGAGGGAAATGAGGCTGGAGGGGCTTGAAAGTGTGGGAGAGGAACCCCATGGTAGATCACGGGGAACTGTTTTCAGTCACTGAACATGAAATGACACAGTGAAAGTGGGCCTAAGAAAGATTGTACTTGTTTGCGAGAAGAGCTGGATAGTGTCTGTACTTTTCTTACACTCTGTTTATTGGTGTTTCATTCTAAGTAGGTTAAAACTGTATTAATCAGAAAGTAGTTTATGTTGTAACCACAAATTTACCCTGAAATCTCAATGGCTGAATACGTAAGTGTATTTCTTGTTTGCATTGCTTGGCCAACAGTGGTGGATGGGGTATGTTCTTTATCTACTTACTCAAGGACCCAGATTGGCAAAGGTCGCACCATCTGGAGCACTGCTGGTCGCTGTGGCAGGAGAGAAGAATGGAGTGGTACATCCCTTGCTGCTGTCTAACACTGCAGCCTCGAAGAGACATATGTCACTTTTGCTCCCGACCCACTAGCCAAAAGTAGGCATGTGTACCCCTCTAGGGGAACTTCAGGATGTTTGGTGAGCAGTAAGTGTTTCTTCCAGGATATAAAGCCTAATAAAAATTTAAAGTATGACTCGTGATATAACATTTCATTTCCTTATGTTCCATTATCAAAATAAGCATCATTTTTAATAGCAAAAAAAAAACTGTATTGGGGTGATTTGGGGATTAAATGAACACATTTGAGCTGTCAGATAGGGTGACTATTCATGCAAAAGTCATGCTACTCACACTAGGTATTCATTTGGACACATGTGTAATGTTGTAAAGGTTCCTGGGAACTCTAGATTTATAGTTTTGCATTTTGCTCCCTATCTTATTTAGATGAGCAACAACTATACCCACCCACCCCCTCTTACCCCCTCTACTCCTTCTAGTAACCCAAACCATTGAAATACAGATACAGGCTACCACCAACCTGTGAATAAAAAAAGAATGATACCCTAGATCCCCAAGAAACACCAAGCATTTTGCATTTTCTTAACTCCCATGAAGACTTCAGCAGGTACACTCTCCTCTCAGTGGGTACCTCCACGTAAAGTGCTTGTTTATTCCTGAGCAGTGGCCCTTAAACACTGTGCTGACTGTGTGGGAAAGAGCTCAGTGCCTTCATCACCTCCATCACCATCAGCATTTTAAACACTGCTGTCCCAGTCTGTCTACTGCTCGTTACGTTCTCCCTGTAACTTCTGATGACAGCTGACGGTGAGCATTGAAAGACATACTCTTTATTTTGTGGCATCCTGCTCTTTATTCCAAAAGACTTGTTTGAGACAAAATCTTGTGACTCAGAACAAATCAAACTAACAGCTGGTGTTATTGAGGAGATAAAGTAAGAATGAAGGAAACATGGATTGAAGAAATACATTGTCAAAAAAAAAATGTTACAATATTAACATTTTTACACTGGCAATATACAATCTTAACTGTCTTTTTCCAAATTATTGGCAGGAAATATTAATGATTTAATTTTTCACGAATGTAGAACTTTACTAAGAGCTATGAAAATAGGCTCCCTTTTGGTACAGTATTTCATTTACAGATTAGAACTTCACTCTATGTTCTCTGGAGTATAAAAAATACATATATGTCATTTTATTTCCAAGTTAAAGGTGGGGAATAGTGCCCAATGAAAGGAATTTAAAAGAATCCTAATTGGAAGTTGAACAGCCATTTTGCTTTGTAAGAAAAGTCCTGCAAAGTTCATCATACTGTTTACTTTGCTACAAATCCAGGATTTAATTCCTTTTTACTTTCCATTTAAAGACTTAGAATGTATCATCATTTGTGTTTCCGTCATTTCACGTGAGTTTTCTTCAGGAGCTGACTTCACGGCACTGGAAATTGATACACTGACTTGGCGTTTCAACATCTTCATGACCTTTCGCTTGTACCCTTTACAAGCAAAGAAATATATAAATGGGTCCATACAGCAATTGAAGTTCATCAGGCATACTGTAATGTGTAGAGATATCTGGAATGAATGCCTTTGGCTACATTCTAGGAGATAAGGAAAACGAAGCTTCTTAATCATGTGTTGAATAATCGCAACGTGATAAGGTGTGAAACAGAGAACAAACACAACAATTATAAAAATAATTGTGTTGAGTGCCTTTTTGTTTACACCAGATTTTTCAGTTAGTGGGTTTTGTTTTGCAGTTTTAAAGAGTTTGCAACAGATTTGAGAATAGCAGATGAGAATGATTATGAGTGGAAGTACATAGCCTATGAAACAGGCACCAAGCAGAATCCAGTGAAGAGATTCGGTCTCTTCAAAGTTTGGATATTCCATGCATGTAGTCCTTTCACTCTCCTGCTTCGACATAGGTTTTATGAGTAGCGGGAGTGTTTGTGCAAATACTAGAATCCAGACAAATATGCAGATACCTTTTGCATGTTCAATTCTTTTTATCTTGTTGTATCGCAGAGGGTGCACCACAGCAAAGAACCGGTCAATGCTCAGGCAGGTCATGAAGTTCACACCTGCATAGGTATTGATGTAAAACACGAGAGCTGTTATCCTACACAGGGCTTCTCCGATTCTCCAGTCAAAGCCCAGTGCATAGTAGGCTATCCTTGTAGGCAAAGCAGTAGTAAAGAGTATATCAGAAATCACTAAATTTGTTGAATATAAGGTGGTAGAGTTTATTTTTTTCCTGTTTTGAACAATGACAACCAAAGCTAACAAGTTTCCTATGAGCCCAATTATGAAGACGATGCTGTAATGCAGAGGCATCAGTACCATGGCTGTGTTGTGGTGTGCGTACAGATCACAGTTGCTTTCCTGAGGAGCTGTAGAGGGTGTAGTAAGATTGTTGTCCATTTTTATATCCATCAGCAGTGTTTGAGGTGTCTAGAAAAAAAACAAGAAAGGTTCATTAATTAAAAGCATACTTAACTAAAAGCAATATAAACTACCTCTTATAGATCTAATTTTTAAAATTTCAAGATTTATATAATTTTAAAAAATCTATGATATGTAATGTGGTCACCTGTATAGTAACAGGAGGAACAGAGGATAAAATTTCTGTTCTCTCAAGCTTTGGTAATTTTGGCAAAACCCTGGCAAAGGAAATAGAGCCATCAATAAGACAAATGCATTTCTGTGACAAGAGGGAATGCACTAACTTTTTAGGCAGAAATTACCCCTTCCTTTTTCTGATTCATTGTCTGGTTAAGAATAAAATCATGTAAAGCACCCCACATTTCGTATGGGTGTAAAACTTAGCTTTTAAGCTCAATTTCAGTTGAACTTTTTTTTTTTTTCCAAATGCATATCACTGCCAGGAAATGAAATCAGTCACACATTTATGTAGTAGAATATGAACTTACCACAGTGATCTGATTTGTGTTAACCTAAAAAGTACAAGAAACAAGCTATAGCCTTGTTAGGAACTGAAAGTTAGGTTTTCTTTTTTTAAAAAAAGAAGAAGCCAGTGACCACTACAACCATGACAAAAACGACATAATAGAAGAGAGAGAAAGGAAAAGAGAAAGAAAAACTTAAGCCGCATTAAGGAGAAATTTTAAAATTAATTTTAGACCATTATTCTGCAGGTATCACATTAATACATTCAGTATACTGACCTATATTTGCACATCATAGTAAGCATTATACATGTGGTATTTCGTGTTCTGCTTTATTCACTTAACATGTTCATGGATCAGTGTAATCTATGTACCTGTCATATGTATAGATCTTATGTAGACATTTGATAGGAATTTCTATAGTAGTACAGTATGTTAATGCATAATTTTGCTTAGCTACGCCCTTGGTAAATATTTGGGTAATTTCCAATTCTTGTTATAGATAATGTTAAGATGAAATTTCAAGTCTTTAAGTTGAAAAGTGGAGAACTGCTACGGTAAAACTCCATATATGAGGCTGAACTTTGATAAAACTAAAGAAGAGCTGAGCAGTAAATTCTGTGAAGTTACTTTTAGAGGAAAAGTAGTTTTCTGAGAGGACTATCACTGTGCACAGATCTCATCTTGAATGACTCAAATTAAGGGAAAACTTCGGTATATCTAATGATGATGGTGATGTATTATATATTAAAGGCAAAGGACTCTATCCCTAGCCATGTCAGAGCACTGACTGCAGATCTGCTCCCTGGCTGCTGTAGTAAATGGGCTGGATCTCTGCTAACTTACTGCTAACAGTCCTAAAACAGTGATGCTAGTAGACACTGAGGTTTAACAGGGATTGCACTCATGCCATAGGTGTACAATATATTGTTGGTAGATTAGTTGTTACAGTATGGGAATCCAACCTAAAGCAAAAAGGAACAAAAATGGAAGTGGAACTTTTTGTTAATCTAGAGGAGACAGTAAAGAGACTATAGAAAAAAAAATAAAGAATAAGGATGGTAAAGAGAAGATACATACTAAGAGAGTAGAAATATGTCACAGCACATTTAAATGGATTGAACTCACCTATTAGAAGACAGAGACTATCAGTCTGGATTTTAAAAAATCCAGCCGTGTGATGCTTAGAAGAGATACGACTCAAAGTGATTCAGAAAGGTTGAAAATAAAGGCATGGGAAAACATATACCAGGCAAATCCCAACCAAAGGAAGCTAGAGTAGTATTAACATCAGAAAAAAGAAATAAAACTCAAGGCAAGTTCAATATTAATAGGGATAAAGAAAGTGACTACCAAAGCTAAAAAGAATAGTTCACGAAGAACCTAAAAAATCATCATAAATTGTGCATGTAAGAGCAAAAATAGAATTTTGAGGAGAAACTGGCAAATCCTTACCCATAATGGGAGATTTTAAGAGTAGTATTAACATCAGAAAAAAGAAATAAAACTCAAGGCAAGTTCAATATTAATAGGGATAAAGAAAGTGACTACCAAAGCTAAAAAGAATAGTTCACGAAGAACCTAAAAAATCATCATAAATTGTGCATGTAAGAGCAAAAATAGAATTTTGAGGAGAAACTGGCAAATCCTTACCCATAATGGGAGATTTTAGATTTTAACACATTTTTATTAGAATATGCCAGGTAAAAAAGAAAGTAAAGTCTTAGAAGATTTGCCCAACATGACTTGAAACATAACAGAATTTATGCTCAAGGCACATGGCCATTATTTGCAATTCCAACATGCACTAGGCTGTCAGAGATGTCCCAGAACTTTCAGAAAATCGTTATCTAGTATACCTCACATTCCCTGTGACTGCAGAACAACTGAATTAAAAGTTAATAATATAAAGATGAAAGATACATTGAGAATCTGAAAAAACATATTTCTAAGGAACTCATGGGTTAAGAAATCACAATGGAAATTCTGAAGCACTTAGAACAAAATGACCAAATTACTACATACCAGACTGTGGGATGCAGCTAAAGAGTTACTCTAAGAGAGACGCAAAGATTTTAATATGTTTATTTTTTATAAAAGATCAAAAATAGATAAGTTAAATATACAGCTCAAGAAGCTAGAAGAGAACTGAGTTTGCTCGAAGAAAATAATAAGATAATTGCAGAAATTAATACAAAAATAGAAAACAAACCAAACAAAGAGCAATAAATATGGACTTTCTATTTTGTGCAGGAAAGAAATGGAATGATTCTTCAAAAGGAAATAATAGGAATTGTGATTGTGGAATAACAGTAGAAAAAACTTGATCCAGCTAGTTGGGAAAGGCTTCATATGAGAACTTTTCAAGAACTGAGACTAGATAGATACAAGGGAGAGGTGAGAATTCTAGGCAACGGTTGCAGCTTAGGAACAAGTGTCAAAAACTTTTTTATTTTTGTAATTTCTGTGAAAATTTTACTTTCTGTAAACATCAACATATGTATTTTACTTTGAGGAGTATTTCAAAGCAGAGTCATGGGAAATGCCTTTAAAAATACATAGTGGGAAAAAATCCTCCATATGACTAATTATTGTAGAGATTGGGAAAGTCACATTAATGTAAGAACCAGAGAACACTGTGCTTTGTTTGTAAATATGTGTTCCACTTCACTGAATGTTACACGGTATCCAGCAGAGCCAGAAAAGGCAGGGATTTCAGAACATTTCCAATTCAAGAATATTAAACACAGTGTTAGTTATAAAGGTGAAAATTTGCAGACAAATCAAATGTCCATCGTTAGGGGACTGGTTAAATACTGTGTGGTGTAGGCATATAGAGGAATACTATATGTAGTCACTGGAAATGGCAATGTGGACGCCTGTTTCTTGACAGAGAATAATGTTAAGTAAGGAGAACAGATTACACAACATGCCACTTTTGGGGTAAGAAAAGCAACTGTGTATTTACACACACACACATCTGCATGGACATGTCAGCGAAACATTATTTTGTACATGTAATTTTTGAGTTTTATCAATATATTCTAAATGTTTAACACTGAGCATGACTTGTGAACTGAGTAAATAGGTAAATAATGTTTTTTAATCTGAAGAAAAAGTTTTTAAAAATACAACTCTTCTTGCAAAAAAACCTTGTCATCTGATAATACTTTTCAAAGCTAGCCTTTCAGTGCTCTTAATTCAGATTTACACATTAGTTTTTCCCAGGGGCCTAACTTTAAATCATATATCTCAAAGAACCCTCACAGCAACCCTGTAAGCTAAATATTGCTGTCACCTACCTCCTTTCCATGTGAGGCAATTGACTGTCAAGAGGTTAAAGGCACTCTGGACCCTTCTCTCTAATGACCGGGCTTCATGTCTCCTACTCTGTCCAGTCCTTGGGGGGGGCCTCTAGTCCATGCTGCTCTTGAAGAACTGAGAGTCTGTGGTTTCCAAATGGTCTAGGCTTTAAAAAGAGTCACACTTACTTGTAAATAAACAGCTGGGGGACAACATCGCCCAGCTGCTGCAGGTCAGGGATTCTTCCTAAGAACAGCAAGATTCCCACTTCCGGGAAAGGTGCCTTCCTACATGGGAAGCCGGACCAGTGGACATGTGTCACAGAGCCCTGAGGGGGTCACTGCCGCGGGACCTCCTACCGCCCACCTTGTCCTGAGTCGGTCAAAGAGAGACGCTTGTGCAACGCGGACATGTAAATTGGGCAGCTTCGGGGCGATTTTAGGCAGTTCTCAGATATGTTCATTTGAATATCCAGTAATCTCTTGAGGGTTGATTGCATTAGTCATCAGCTCTAGCATATTGTCTTAATTCTTGCTTATATCTATCTTGTGTTAATGCAATAGTTTCAGTCAATTTTATCTCTTCCATTCAAGAGAAAAATCCATTCATGCACTTGATTGTTGTTGCCCCATTCTTCTATCAGTCTATCTCAATTTACTTTCATCTTCCTCAGAGATACTATTTTATACCTTCCATTAATCCTTTTAGGATCCAGGATTATTTTCCTGAACTTTGACTCACTTCATTCTTTTATGCAGCCCAAAACTGTTTTTAGTGCCTCCATGCGGTGGGCCTGGAAATACAGCAATAGTACCTTTTGAGTCAGAGGCCTACCACCCAGAGGCTGTGTGTACCATGCTGGGAGTGTGCTGCTCTCTGGAGGAGGTGTCAACCTCAGGACTCTTGGCTGCGTTCCTTCTCTGCTTGCCCTTTGCATTTCAGCGCTCCTTTATTAACCTTTGGATTGCAAATTCCTTTTATTAATCTTTTTTTTTTCAGGCATAACTACGTCCCTTCCTCCTTCCCTTCCTTCCTTTCTCTGTTTACTTTTGAATATATTTTAATTATGTTACATTTTCATAATTATTAGACAACAGTTTGATGTTATGTAGAATAGATGCACTGAGTTGTACTTGCAGGTTCTGTGGCTTGTCATTTTATTGACTACAGAAAAGCACAAGGAAGTGTTCTAAATCATTTTTCCTTAGGATATTTGTATTTGTAAGAATTATAATTTCCTCATAATACTTTTTAATGAAAGGATAAGCATGGTCTCTAAGTTGTCCTTAGGTTCCCCACAGGGAAGGACAGGAATGGGGACTGCAGCCTGAGCCCTGAGGGCACAGGTGGTAACTGGGATGCCTGCATGCGGGGTGAATCCTTATTCAGGTTCCACCCTAGGGACACCTTTTCCTCCTGAAAATGAACTGCTCGGCAGCCACCCTGACAGCTACTCTACCAGTTCTCTTACAAAGTTTGTTAGCAAGCAAAGGGGTCTATCCCAGTTTTGTCTCTCTCAGGCAATATCGATCCTCTTAACTTTACTGTTACCCTACGGTATGTAAAACAGCACGTTCTTCCACAAAAATATCTTCCAAAGTATTTTGACTTCTGTTTTTGGAAGTGAGTCTGTGCATGTTTTTCTCTTTGGAGTTGATTTTACTACTAATAGAGTAGCTAACGTTTCTTAAGATGCTGTCATCTCATTTTTGCATAACCGGACATGTTGACATGAACTGACAAGTTCTTTCTAGCCGCAGAAAGGTAAAAAATAAAAAGCCCCACAAACTCATTTATTAGAATTTAAGAGAATTAATGTTATTTGTATTCTGGAAATATTTACCCTGGATACCAACTTGGAAGCAGTTGTGATTTTTCACACAAAAATTTCTTCCACATAGTACCTCCCACAATCCCAGTTTACTTGCATGGATAAATATCTTCTTAGCCTTTATTTACAGCAAAACAGAATAAAGCCTTCACTATATTTAAATATTTAGCTGAGTGCTAGAATAATAGCTTTTAGTTTTTGCTTTAAGATTCCTTTTACCCTACTACTTATTTACTGAATGAAAATCACCTTAAAATGAAAAGGGGTTAAACTTCTGGTAATTTTGTTTAAATTCATCCCTTAGCAATGAATTGAATAGTTCAAGTCATGCCAAAATGATAATTAAAGGAGGTGCCTTCTCTATAAGGTCAGTCTGCTTAAGACCATGTTTACACACCCAGATGATCTGACTCAAAGTGCCCACAGTGGCATGCACCAAAGAGGAAGTTCAGGAGCATGCTTTCAAAAACAACCAGCAGAGCGACAGAAATGTGGGCATACAGATGTGAATTACATTTTCATATTGTTAAGTGATGAGTGTTTTATCTGATTCTTTCTCTGATTTCCGTTGATGCTCTGTCCTTCGATTATTTTCTTGAGAGAGGTAAGATTGAGAGAAAATTTCTAGAGTGAGGAAAAATAAAATCACTGGGAAAGGAAAGGACCAGTAAAGGCTCAGGATTCACTGGAAAAACAAGGACTCAGTCTGCAGAGGAACTAGACAAGCACAGATGCGTCAGGACAACAGGCCAAGGCTCTTTATGATCTTGGGGACAAACATACTCCATGGGAGAAAGAAATCATTTCCTCTTCCTCCAGTCACCTAGTTTTGTAAGTATCTGTCAATTATGTGAAAAGTCCTCCTTGTTCTTAAAGCCAGTCCAAGAGACATCTGTTTCATCCATTGTCACACATGCTGGGGTCTGGCACTCAACCAAGAATTGTTTTCACCTTCTTTTTAGTTGACTAAGCAACCTTCACCTGAGCAATTTTGTGTGCCATTTACCTGTAAAATAGGCAGGTGGGAAACACTAATTCCTGATTGTGGGAAAGAAACCAGACGTCAGGCTGTCCATTCCCATGCGCTGCCTCTCCACTGCTTGACTAGTCAGGTTGCACTCTGATTAGCTTAATGAAATAAATGTTCCACGGATAGGTGGTGTTTTTTTTTTCCCAACCTAAGTTGATAGCTATGTCTGTGTCCAAAATTCATTTTCCTGGAAGACTATAGGGAACATGATTCAGAAAGGTGGCACACTGGCGGCTGCGCACACTTTCTCAGGACGGAACCTCACACATGCCGGAGTCTTTATGATCAGGGTAGAGTTGCCTGTGGTCAGCCTATCTGAGGGGACCTTCTGCTTCCCTACCTCCTGGGGAGCTTGCGTTTTTTTGACTTGTGGAAGTATGACCTCTTTCAGACCCATGACGTAGTCTGGTCTGACCACCTTCAGACCATGTCCGCAAAGGGTCATGTACAGGACAGTGCATGGAGAACTTCTTCAAGACAGAAAGGAAAGAGTGTTGGCCAGCCTGGAGTTTCTTTATGACTGCTGTCCTGAACCCAGTGGACACTTCAGCTTCTGTAAACATGTACATTGGAATTGGGAAAATGAAAGGTGCCTGACATTTGAATTATTTGGTTAAACACCCACTTGCACCTTTGGGGTTTTACATATTCCAGCTGTTTTTCTTTCATCTTTCACTGATTATTCCCTGTGTGGCTTCTGGCAGCTTTAGTACTGAGTAGGATGGTATGAAAGTTATCGAAGATGAAGACAAAGGAGGTGGTAACATTAAGAACTTGAATTAGATGATATAATGTTTAGGAACTGTAAAAAAAAGAATTCCACTATAGTACTCATTTGAGTGTAAGGAAGACAAATACTGCATTTCCTTGTGGTGTGATTTGACCTGTATGTAGAATAACTATGTAATATAAAAAGACTCTTTATAATGAAGGTCTGAGTTTGTATAATCTTTATCCTCTGGTCCATAATGTTTCCAGAAATAATATGTACCTATTTCTCTTAAATTTAAGAGAGTTTCAAGTTTGGATTTTTGTCTCTTTTATCTCATAGAAGTTAGTCAGAAACATTAAATAGCCTTATTTTATGAGTAAACAAGATTCCAGAGAGATTGGATCATTAGCCCAGGGTCCTGCCTCAGTAAAGGTACCACGTCAGGGAACACAGAAGCATACAGGGCTCCATGGCCTCCCTGCCCGCTACTCCTGTCCGCCAGTGATTGCTGGGCCTTCCGCCTTCTGACCCTCTTCTGCACTTAGCCTCTCCCGTGCGCCAGGCTTCGTGTCTGCCCACCTGTGCGTGTGTCCCTCCACCGACCCTGCTGCCTTCAGGCCCCCCTCACTTCTCTGCAGTAGTTACGACACCTTCCAAATGGTGCCCACTGAGTCCCAGGCAAACCCGAAGCTCTCTGCTGTGACTTAGTTTCCTTCCCTGTTGGGTTCTGCTTCCCTCTTCTGCTGGATCTCTGCCATCTTCCCTCCTAGGAAGCCCTTGCTCCAGCCTTTCCAAATTTCTTGCAGTCTTTTGGTGTCCCGTGTTCTCTCACAGCTCTGTGTCTTTCTGAACCTCTTCTGCCTGGGGCCTCCTCTTCCCTGGCCTGGTATCCTCAGCTCCTTCTTTCCTTCAAGACTTAGTTCCCAGACCAGCTGCTTCTAGAAGCCTCCCTAATTTGTTCCTCTCCTGCTCCCTCACAGTGCCCAGAAAGGCTGTGTGGAGTATCCTTGCTGGGGCATGGTCCTCTAAAAGTATCTGTACTCTTGATTTTTTTTCCCCTGTGTCCTGCCAGCCTGTGAAATCCAGTGAGTGGGGTCTGTGTGGTTAATTTTGTATCTCTCCAGCTGACCCATGATTGATGCTAAATAAATGCCTGCTGAAGAATAACAAAATCCCAATTTCCTTGATCCTTGTCCAAAGGTTCTTAGTAATTAGACCACAGTAAGCTTTTGATTAGTAATAGTAACCAGTATTATTAAGCAAAGATTGTTCTGGGCACTGCTCTGGGCACCCTACATGTATTCACTCACTGGGTCCTCACAGAACTTTCGTAAAGCCATTTCCAGTGGTGGAACTGAGGCACAGGGCATTTGCATGACTTGCCTAAAAAGCTAGCTGTTAAGTGTCAGGATTCAATCTAAGCAGTTGGCTCCATAAGTCACATTCAGGGCAGTACGTTTTTTTTCCTATCTCGTGTTTCTAACATGATCTGATGTTGTTGGTAGAAAACCAGTAAAGTAGGAAGACATCTCAAAACTTTAACACTTTCCAACTCATACCTGTCTGAACTAGAGAGGAGAAGGGCTGAGGAGACGGGAAGATGGAGGGAAAGAGGGAAACACATTGATTTAAAATAAAGGAATTCATGAATTTATTTGTAGCTTATCTTAAAGGTTTTGTGAATGAATTTGCATTTTACTTTTTAACAATATTTCTTTAAAACAATTTGGATTGAAATTTCTGTTGAAAGAAGATGGTGAATATCTACAATAGCTTTTATGCTAATTTATTTTTTACACTACTTTTTAGGTAATTGCAGATATTTAACAAAATACTTTTATTCTTTTCTTTGGGCTTTCAAGACACCACAAGGATCTTCGTTACCTCTGCAGTTTTCAAAGTATTTTCACACACATTATCTCATTCTACACTGAAGCCTGTATTTTACAAACTTCTTGGGAATCCAAGAAACTATATAAACTGGAGGGCACCACACACCGTCAGCACGTAGTACACAGCACACTCTCGGGCCTTCTAACAACACTGGCAGACTCCTAACCATACCAGGGCAAAAAAATTTCACCTCCAAAGTCAATTACTGTGTAGTAAGTGATTTTTTAAAATGTAAACTTCTAAAGGATGATGGCTTTATCTTACACAACATTTATCCCAGGGTGTTTCAAAACTGCCCCCATAGTAGATAGCTAGTAAATGCTGACAGAATACTAAGTGAATGAAAGTCATACAGTGATGTGAATTAGTATTTTTTCCATTAAATGATTGGTCATGTTACTGATAAGCTCTTGAAGCCAGTTAAAAGAAATTTACAAAAGGAATTGCCACCACCCTATGACAGCTGAGCCTGTGAGTGTGTGCTCTGAACAGTCTTATGTCCAGAAAGTATGATTTTCCCCCAGAGAGAAAACATGCACTGAAATACTAACAAATGCAGAGGCCAGACAGTAAGCACAGACAGATGTATAACGGTCCGCAGACTTGGTCTTTATGTAAAATATTCCATAAATATCTGCAAGTAAGCTCAAGAAAAATAATTCTCACAAAATGATAGAGCAAGGAAACTTTGCTTATTGGACTCGTGCTTTTGTGGTTTAATGGGCAGAGGAAGAAGAGAATAATGAAAGCAGACAGTTTTCTAGCACTTCTGTGAGAGCTGATGTTATAAATGAAGCAACTGAAGCCGGACTGCCTGAGGCCTCACAGACTGTGAATATCAGAGCGGGGCTCAAGCCTGACTCCGAGCCCATGCTCTTAACCACTACCCTCTATTGCACGTAGAAGGATACCACTCAGAAAACCCAAAAACACATCCTTTAGAGGAAGTCTCAACAGTTATATTTTGCCAAGGGTTTCTATTACCTCCATTCCCAACCTAGATAGAAATATTGGTGAATCAGTGCATACAATTCATTGTTTTGTGGTATTTTTTAGGCACATGGAAATTCTAGAAAAAATATGGGGACACATTTAGCCTCACTGGTCATCAAATAAAAATAAAGCAAACAACAGCAATATTCTTTTTTCGCTTATCAAATTAATAGTTTATATTTAGGATTCAAATTTTCATTGGCTGAGAAGCAGTGAAGCCTAGACTATCACTGGTGGGAGGGTGAGTTGGCAAAATGTTTTTGTAAACTGAAAAATACCAATTTATATCTAAATCTTTTAAAAAAATGTATATCCTTTGCCCTGGGAATTCTATTACTGGGATTCTATCCTGAGAAACAATAGGAAATATAAAAATGTAGAACTAATAGAAATACAGAAAAGACTTTTATGTACATAGAATACATGGTCAGATAATAAAATGTAACAACTCTTTTGTTTTAAATTGTACTGAATATCTTGTTATATGTATAATGCATTCAAGTGTTAGAATGCCCCTTTTTAAGTAAATTTGTTCCTGTCCCTTTGTATTAAAGTATCCTGAAGAATTAACATTATTTGCTGACTTATACTTGATACTGTTTTTTGTAATTGTGTATTCACACAGAAGTACAAAATAAGTCCTATTTTTTGACAGATATTTCTGGCATGATCTGCTTTTATTTAGCCTAATATTAACTAATTAGAACTGCCAGTCACTAGAGAGTCTAAATTATATTAATGGTACAGTTTTTGTGAGAAATGTTTATAATTTGTTATTGAATAGATTCTTTCCTTTACTTTATACCTTAATTAGGCTTTCAAAGTTTTTCTTGACTCAAAAGACTGTTGAAAAGTAGAAGATCCGGTACTTACCTCTTAGTGGCTTGTTCAGGCTGTGTCGAGGCAGTCAGTATTTGTCTAAAACTGATGTAGGTTAACCTTGGCACGTCGTTTTAAGAGAGATTATGCAGACATCCTTTTATGGTGGTGACTTTTTTTCTGTCACCCTGTGACTGAGCACAGTAATGATCAGTTAGCCTCATATATGCGTGTGCACTTTTTTTTTTAATGGGAAGTGAAATTTTTTCTGTTAGTGATTTTTTTTGAACAGTTATCCAAAAACCCCTTGGAATTTATCAATTACTGATATCTATGGAACTTTATAAAATTTTCTATAAAGATGTAAGTATTAAAAAAGTTCTTTGAGAGAGAGTGAAGCAAGAAACCTTAACTAGAAAAAAAATCATAGATACTGATTATTTGTATCCATATTCTGTGTAAAAGTATGAGTTTTAAGAAAAAAAATATCAATGCTGATAATTCTGCCTACCTGGAAAGTTGTTGCAGAGAGTAGTATACTCATTCTGTATCTTTACAGCTTATAAGACAGAAACAAAGGTCTCTGTGGTGAGTGGGAGAAAGATGCATGTGTACAGGGATTAGTGAGTGTTTTCAGGCAGGAGGCTGAGTGAATGGGCACATGAATGACAAGGGAAGAGTCAGATAGGGGCATCTTAGAGTGAAAATCCAGCCTCTGTGCACGGATGTAGAAGACCCGCACTGTGCACCTTATAGTTTTAGTTGACTCACTTTAAGCCAACAATGTAACACGGCTATCAAAACATAATTTATTGTAGGCTAAATTAATAGACATATAGTGGTCAGCACATGAGAGGTTCTGTTCTTATCCACAAGTGACCTGGTCATTCCTGGTCAGCTCTGGATGCTGCATTCTGTAGAAGGTTTAGAGCATTCCATGGTGGTTAGGGGTCTAGGTCCTAAGTCTTAGGAGAAATGACTGAGTAAACTTGAGAGTGTTAATACTCGGCAATGATGTGATTGTTATCCTCATACATTTGAAAGCTCTCTTCGGTTGCGTATGTCAATCTTTCTAATTCCAGAAATAGGAGGAAGGTCAGTAAGAGGAACTTCTGGGACAACTTTCAAATGAAAATATGAAGGTAGTTCCCAAAAATTAGGATTATGAAAAAGTGGAATAGGCTTCCTCTTATATGCTTCCATAAATTGGATGACTATGCTAAGGGATGAGGTAGAGAAAATTGAATCATTTTGTAGGAATTTGTAATTCTGAAGGCCTCACAGGCCTCCTACTACAGGATTAGGCCTCATGACTTTAGCCCTCCAGTGCTATTATTCCATTCAGAAGTTTATTAGGTTCTTCTAAACTCCAAAATGCTGAAGATCTGTAGAGAAACTATGACAAACAGAATAGCAACAACTTACCTGAATTCTTTGAGCCACTACCTCACTGTCTATAAAATAAAAGTATTGAAGCAAATGATTGCCCAGATAATTACTAGTGCAGAAATTCTTTGAGAAGGAAATACAGAGCTTTTATGATTTGATGGATAAATATGATAAATATTCTAGGACTAGTTCAATTAAAATTTGAATCGAAGAGTACTCAAAGATACCAACATTGAGAAGTTTGTCAGTTTGTTGAAAGGACATCCTGGTGGCGTGTTTTGCTTTTTAATTTTTGAAATGTTTCTTGTTGAGTAAACATTGTTATATAATGAAAAACTCAACTAGGTAAAGGAAATGCTCCAGCAAACTGAATCTGCTTCTTTTTTGGTATTAGAGTAGCCAGGTATATAAAGAAAAGGTGATGGGGTAATTGTCCTATGAGGTGCTGTTGAGGTTTGGTGTGAGATCATTTCAGGAGTTCCCAAACCGTGTATTTATTGTTGTTGAAAATTACCAGGATTATTTTAGATGTACTATGAAAGTGGAGTCAATGCCCTTTTCTGTAGAAGAGCTACATTTGTGACCTGAACTGTTTCTATAATTGTATTTGTTCTATCAAGTACAATTGTGATTATACAGTAGATACTCAATAAATACTAGTGGCATTCATTGAAGGAATGAATGAGTTCTTTACAACCTGTTCCTCTTTTCTGTTCTTCAGCCTCATAAGCTTAAGCCAGATAGAACTTCCAGAAGTGAGCTATTCATGACATGAGAAAGGTCAAACTAAATTATTGTTGACAGTATAAAGGACAGATGTTGTCTTAAAATAAGGAAAAGAGAAAAACTGGTCAGTGACTAATAACATTGTGATATTTTGTGAAGTCTGTGTGTATAGAAATAGAAATGGAAATTTTGTACAAAACAACCTGTATAACTGTGGTCTGAAGTGTGTGCTTTTGTATTATGGGTATATGTGGTCTAATATTTAGTCATCATTTAAAACTGTATGATGATTAATAATGTCTAAGGAATTTTTAAACTTCTATTGGTATATAAGACATGAACTGTGGCCATTAAAATTCCTATCAGTTATTTTCTTAGTTTACATTGAATTGTAACCTCAAACAAGAACTATGCTTCTGATTTTTTTATTCTAACATCACTCTGCACTGTATTGCTACATATGTAAACAGAAGAACTGTAAATTAAATAGCTCAAAGAAGATGTTCTGTGCAACCAAAATAGTTTTCTCACTATTATGAAGAGACCAGTAAATATCTGAAACCATATGTTTTATTCCCTTTAAGATAACAAAACAAGAAAAGCTTTTTTTAAAACAAAAGGCAAATTCTGCTATGTGGTTTTACCATTTTAAAGAGAAATTCATTTATTCAGCAAGTATTTATTGAGCAGCTGCTCTGTACCAGACTTCTAAAGAGTGGGGATAGAGCAGTGAACAAACCAGACAGAAGACCAGTGAGGGAGACAGGTGATAAGCAAGTCTTGCAGTAGATTAGAAGGTTGCGGGTGCTCTTGGGAAGGGAAATGGCCAGTGCAGAGAGGGGTGGGGCTGTGAAGTGCGCTGGGATTGCAGTTTGGAATGTAGTCATGAGGGCTTCTCTGAGCAGATGCCATTGGAGTAAAGGACTGAAGTGTTTAAGGGAGTAAGTCATGTCCGCCCATGGAAGATGGTCAGGGGTGGGAAGAGCAGATGTGGGTGGCCAGTAGCACCGTGTGCATGGTTGCTTCAGTGGGACACCCTGGTCCAGTGTGGCTGCAGCAGCGAGTGGTAGCAGAGCAGGTTCGGGGTGGGGGTGCAGAACCCTGTGGGTCTCTGTGATGCCTTTGGCTCTTACTCTAGAGGGGGAGTCACTGAAGGATTTTAAGCCCAGAAGTGATTAACTCGTACCTTTTAATGAAAAGAGTGCACAGCTGCTTAATCAACTGTGTTTGGGTTTAGATGAATTGAATTGGGAAAAAAAAGTTCTTTTGTGTAGTATTTAGAATGGCAACTTATATAAGTTTCTGTTCATTAACATTACTTTGTGAATTTTTTAATTTTATATTAAAAATACTTATACTAATTTTGTAAGTATTTAGAATGGCAACCCTCAAATATTGAGAGTTGATTGTTGGTAAGGATCTGTATTAAGCACTAGGGGATGCCATGCTAAATAAAACATGGTGCTTTCTCACAGAATTAATAATCTAATGGGAGAATTTTTTAAAACCTTATGTAGTCAGTTTAAATGGACATCATACAACTGTTCAAGAATAAGGGTTATTGGTGCTGGGAGAGCCAAGAGGAGGCGTTTCCTCTGCCTGCCGAGGGATGTACCCAGTCAGGAGGAGGGCCGATGAGTGAAGCATTTGAGATTGATCTGCGGTGCTGTCCATGGACCTCTGCTGCTTTGTGCCTGTCCTCTCCTTACAAGCTGCCAGAGGCCTCAGTTAGTGCAGCCGGTCTCTGGGCCTGACCCAGTGCCTGGCAGTTCGGCATTCACTATTTGGGTTTTCCCTGTTCTAGCATTTCTTGTCCTGTTGATGCTGCTACCATTACCACCTTTTCTGTGTGTGTTTGCTTTTGTTTTGTTTTTAGTAGTAGAACTAAGAGGACAGTGAATGATGTCTTTATAACACGAACTCTTATCAAAGATGATAGGCCAAGAGGGTCCTACGTTTATACAAAAATGGTAGTGAGAACGTTTCTTTGTGAAGTGAAGGATATTTCTTAGCATTTTTCTTATGGTAGAGAAATAGTTCTTTGTACTGATGCCACTCACCCATAAAATGGGAAAATTAAAGATAGTCTGAGTAATTAAGCCAAGTGTTTAATGAAGAGTGGGTACAAGTGTGTGTCCAGACCACTCTGCTCATTCATGTTGCCTGCCTTGCCCTTGTAGGGATGTGCATCTGCAGTTCTGGAGGTTAGAGCATGCTGCGTTCTCACAGAAGTAGACGGGGCTCTGCACCTGGCCTGCCACCTTGCACAGAGTGCCCAGGTGACTGGTTGATTCCCTGAAACAGTGTCAGTGAGGTCACTTTGAGAGCTCCTGGCCACCTGGAAGAAGGAGTTGGAAGAACCACTGAGGGGGATATTTGAGCTCTGCCATGCACCCTAAGTACACAGTTCCTTAGTAGAAAGTGGAAGACATTTCAGTTGAAAGCATCACCTGTGTCAGTGAATTGTCACAAGAACCTGCCCTGCCCAGGAGCATCTTTGGCGAGTGGGGGTGATTGGTGTGGGGCCACATCAGAGGAAAGGAGGGGAAGACATTGTGGGAGACAGCCCTGATGAGAAAGAATTGGAGGGCTTTGTTATTTCGTGCTAATATTTAAATTTACTCTTTAGAAACTGGGAGCCTGTGGAAGGGGATGTGATGTGATCAGAGTTGTGTTTTGGGAAGTGAATACTGTTAACTGTTTTTTTAGAGAGAAACAAGACTTTTAAGTGGAAAGACACTTGTGACTTTTGCATGTCAAGTTGAAGGTATCAAATTGAATTTCATTACCAATGAGAAACGACAGGCAAACTGTTTGGGGACCCAGTTCTTTTTCTAAATTGAAGCCAAAGAAGGGCTTATGATTATACAAGGAGAGGCTGGAGCAAGGACAAAAGACGTTATGGAACCCTAGAGTGGGTAAAAGGAGAGTGGTAGGAGAAATCATGGGGAAGTCGGCAAGAAACAGGGCTTAAGACAAAAAGAGGAAGGAATTTGAGGAAGGGAGGGCAGGAGTGGTATGCGGAGTCAGGTGCTGTGGTGATACATGATTGGACGGAGTCTGAGATGAGGCTTTTGGGTTTGACCACGATGAATTACGGTGCTGGTTGCTTTGGTTTGTCTGGTCTTTCTCATTCAATTTTAGGTCATTCATGGGAAGAAAACACAGCATCAACTTTAAATTTTCTCACAATGCCTGACAATTAAGTAGTAGATGCCAAACCACTTATTTGTAATGGTGTTGGGAGAGTTGACAGGATTAGGTAGAGTTTTCATAAAATATTATATATGAGTACAAATTATTTCAGATATGAGGAACATACATAAATCAATGTGTGTATCTGAGACCATGCTTTCAGGCTGAAATAAAATTATAAGCAGCATTACTTCAAATATACATTTGCCATTGGTATTTTAAATTGAGTATGACAGTATAGTGATTTTTTTTTTATTTGTTTGCATAGCCTGGCACCTGTGTTTGCTCTGTTTGTACCATTTTACTGCTCCATACCGAGAGTCCAAGTGGCACAAATTCTGGGCCCGTTGTCCATCACAAACAAGACATTGATTTATATATTGGGACTACAGGTACGGTATGCATTTTTATGTTCACATTTCTTTAACCAGATCTTTTTTTTTTTTTTGGTCTTTTTCTCATTTGATCTCCTTGAAAACAGTGTTTTTTTCCCCATAAGTTTGGCTTCATGATCTATATCAAATGTTCAAAGGAAGTGTTACAGAACAAGAACATCAAGGTGTATAAGGTACTAGAATACTTTCATAGCCTTTAGAAATCTGATAAGAGCTTTCACTGTAATTTGAATCAGTGGAAAATATTTTAATTTCATTGTGCAATTGCGTGTAAGTACTTCTTAAAAATCATAGCATAAAGTGGAAACAAATGAGAACAGTCAAAAAGCAGAAAGTGGAAAATCACTGTCAAAATTAATTGACTGAATACAGTGTCACAAATACAGGTCTGAAGACATCAGATGCGCTTTCCCACCTTGGTAACCTCTGTGTTGCATGACAGCACTGTCACCATTTGCTAAATTGTTTGATAGGAAGATTGTTCAGAGTTCTTATCATTTGATCTAAATTGTGAAAGGTCATCTTCACCAATATTCAGTGAATGTTGACCGTTCTCCTGGCGTCCAGGCCAGGTGACAGAAGGCACATACAATTTTCAGTTTCGCCTTTAACCCTTGTCACTTTCCTTGCACTCCCGCAGCTTTTGATGTCAGCCTCTGTTGTGCTGTTTCCTGTGGCACCATGTGTAGCTTGGCCTTTTGATCCACTGTTAATACTCATAACATTCCTTATCCCGCACACATCAGACCGGATACTAGCGTCTCTGTAAAATGCCCTCCTCCCTCCCCTTTTAACCTTTAGCACTTCCTCTACCTTCTCTAGTCTGTCACGTGTTATCAGTGGCTTATCTGGGGTTATGTTTCCTTGCTACTTTTACAACGCTTTCTCACGAAGTATGTTTATTCTCCATCTCTCAACTTACGTATTGCTGTACTCTCCCTTATCCTTCCTAATAATTCATATAACCAAATAGCCCATTTCTGCAGTTTATTCTTATTACTATGATTTGCTATGGCATTTGCTTTTTTAAAGGATGTTACAACAGAAGGCAGAACGCATGGACCTGGGGCAGGAGACCCAATTCTAGTTCTAACATGACTTGGGTCAGGTTTACAGAAGCCCTCTGAACCTCATGTTGACCCTGTAGTTCCTTCTATCTCTAAAGTTATATAGCATCATTGAGGTGAAAAACATTATTTTATTAATTACAGAGTAGGAATTCAGTGGAGCATTGTGGGAAGTCTTTGGAGGCAAGCAGACTTCAATCGCTTGCTCTGGTAATTATTTCCTTCATCTGTCACCTTTTCTGAGCCCCATTTGCCCATATGTAAAATAGAGATGATATTATCTATTTTACAGTATTTGAAGGATTAGGGATTAATAGTATTGGTTGTTTAGGGCAATCTGAACAGATAAGAACTAAACCATTTGGTTTGGGTTGCTATTGTTAATTAATCATTAATGTCTCTATAGCTACCACCATTGGTTTTTCTGAGATTATGAATTTTTTTTTTTGCTTTTGTTTTTTGTTTTGTTTTGTGGGGGTTTTTTTTTGGTGAGGTAGAAGTTGATATTAGAAAGCAGAAGTGGAGATACCTCACTGTTTTCTTGATAAAATCTGAAGTCCTTAGCATAAATGCCATCCAAGGCTCTTCTTGCCGATCCAGTATCAACTCCCACCCGTCCCCTCCTTGAAGTGGGAGTGAATCCCTTATTCTCAAAGTCTCTGTTTTTTCCTTTCTTCTTTCCCCTGTGGACCTTTGCACATGTTTCTGTGCCATTCTGTTTCCTGCACAACAATTTCCTGAAGCCAGGGACATTTGATGAATGAATGAATGAATGAATGAGTGATAAATGAATGACTTTAATCATTATCAGAAGAGCAAAAATGTTTGTGAAGGGTCATGTAAGTATCAGATGGTTTGAAAGTCAGCCATGTAATGCCTTGTGTTAGGGGCTCTAAAGGATAAAATACAGTATGAGATGTAGCAACAGTGCTCAGGGAGCCCTGCAGTGAGGAAACACACATACTGTCAAAAAAAAACATGAGCGGACTCAATTGGGACCACACACACAATAAGTTGAGGGGCTTAAGAGTCCAAAGGAAGTAATTATTCACTGACAAGATGAATGATACACTCTTCTTACATGGGCAGGAGACACTGTTGCATGGAGAGGTCACAAGCACGGGCTGTGGATCTGGACCACTTGAGTGTACTCCCAGCACCACCACCCACCAGCTCTTGACCTTGAGAAATTACATAACCTCTCAGTTTTCTTATGTGTAAAATAGAGTTAATAATAGAACATACCTCATAGGGTTATTAGGAGGTTTCAGTAAATTTAGTATAGGAAAAGCATTAAGATCTCTGCTTGGCATGTAGTACACACATTAAGTGCTTTGAAAGTGTTAGCTATTTTATTATTATTTAGATTTTTAGATGATTACAGAAAAATATTTTATTGGCCTCCTTTTTACCTGCACTTACCTCGTCTCTGTCTTCTTTCTGTGTATCTTATTTTTCCTGTGTATCCTTGATAAATGTGCAGAACTTTAAGGCTTTCATCTAGCACAATGTCAGCAACACACCTGGGTATCCTGCTGCTTTCTCTACAAGCAGAAGTACTTAAACTAAATTCTAAATATGAACTAAAGATCTAAATATGAACAAGCACCAGACTACAAATGTTTTCTTCCTTGCAGGAACACTTTGAGATGTCTTAGGACTTTTTTTTTTTTTACCCTAGGCACAATTTTCTAATGTAAATGGTACAGAAAACAAAGGGAGAGACTTCATATGACCTAATTTTAATTGCTTTTGCCATTAAATAATGTTTGTATCTTTACTTTGTTTGTTACTTTGGTGAACTGGAATGAGAATACTCAGTTAAGCAGACTAGCATTGGAGATGGACTGACATGCTTGCAGAAAAGCCTTGTCTAAATTTAGAGTAACAAAGATGAGAAATGAAAATGAGAGAATTATGTAAACTAATATTATATGTCATTACTTGACACTAAGCATTGGATGATGACTACATATTTTTATGTTGTTAATTCTAATAATTTCTTTATATGTGGTATTTAACTTTGTTTAAAGCAGTTAGTGTCCAGTAAGAATATGCTTGAATTTCCCCTATTTTTCTTTGCATGGCAGTGGGCCAGGCTCAACCAATCTGTTATCTGTTTTAGGCTATAGAAAGGATGAGGCCTTTGTTTAAAAAAAGAAAAATTAATATATTATTTTCTTTTAAATAACAGAATTGATATTTATTAATTTTTCTTTGCTTATATTAAGACATAATACTTAACATAATTAGTTTTGACTATAATTACGTAAAAATAAGGATGCGTGACTGGCAGTTGAATTTCATTTTTAGTTGCTTTTTTTTTCTTTTATAGCTTTTCACCTCTGGTTCCTACATCTGGATTGTAGCCATAAGTGGACTTGTAAGTGTGATTTTCCTTCTTCGCCAGTCTCTCCCCTTTCTGAAGACACTTTAGGAGAAATGTCATATTTAGATTATAGGTTGTATTCAGTTGTCTCCTCCTCTCTCTTAATGTCCAGTCTGTCTCTGTGTTACTTAGTGATGAAAAAGGTCCAGTTACAGGGATAACTGAGATGAAGGAGGTCAGTTTGTCTGTTTTCAGGGTAAGTTTTAGTAGATGTTTTAGTAAAGTTTTAGTAGAGTTTCTGGTCAGTGTTATTTTTAAGTTACATTTGTACTCACACTCATAGTAGGAAAAAAAGTGACAAAAAGAAAATGAAGAAGTTGAAAAATAATGAGAGATGTTCTGCTTGTTTTGTAAAAAGACATTATCATGCAAGGGGAAAAAAAATAAGGCTAAATGGAAAGTCAGGTGGTTTGGAACTGACAGAAGACTCACCAGGCTGTGTGGCCGGAGAGGAAAGAGGAGAATGAGCTGAGGATGTGAGTGGCGTCCTCGTTCCGGAGGCTGGAATGTCCTCTTCTCACCCATCCCCTTGCTGCCCTTGATTATTATCATTTTTTTACCTTACTAAGCATTTGTCTTTAACTCCAATTATGAGCTTTTTGAAAAGAAATCTAGAGCATGAAATTGAGCTTTATTTTTCATCCATGACTTAAATTTGAGCTCCCAAATTTTTATAAAAATAAGTTTATAACTAGTGTGTATAGAATGTAGTTTTCATTTCTTTCTTGGAAAAGACTAAGAAAATTACAGAGTGAATTCATAGTAGTATGTTTAACATCACAACGAAAGGATTTGGAAATAATCATGCATGCCGCTGCAGACTTTTGAGTAAGTTATCACTATTCTCGTTCCCTGGGTGAACTGGTATTTCGGCCCACTGTGTCATGACTTTAGCCTGCTCACTTCTCTCCTTCTTTTATGCTCTCTATATTATTCCTTTTCCGTGTTTGTTCTTTTCATGTACAGTTTAATCCTTCATTCCCCACAACTTCCAGCCAAAATTCTAGGGATTCAAGTCGTTTTGTTGCCCCCTCTCTCAAGTATTTTTCTCAGATACCCAGATACATGATTCTCTTCGGGACCATCGAGCTGACTCCATTGTGAGGTCTTCAAACCTCTGAGCCACCTGGTGTTCTCAGGACTGGTGGTCACTTAGGGTCAGACTGGTTCTCTGGAACACCATTGCCAGGCTCTTCCTAGTCTGCTTTCACCCCACTTGAACTACCGACTCAACTGACGGCTATTTAACCTGCCTATGAACAATAAATAGCTCACTGCTTTCATGAGAGCATGAGAATTAACTCTTTCTTTCGTGATGTATTTTGTTTCTCTTAGCAATGGTGGTCTCGAGTCCTTCTTTGGATATTTTCCTAAAGAATTTGAGAAGTACATTATTGTACACTGTTTCATTGTGTTAGTTTATTATTGATGGACTTTTTTTTGTCATTATCCAAACCCTTCGTTGATAACTCATTATGGGACTCATTTGTTTTAAGATTTCTAATTTTCTTCTTTTTCAGACTCCTGGTTTCAAATTAAGTGCTTCCTATCACCTCAGAAAGTTTCATTTTGTGACATTTAGTGCTCTAGAATTAGAGATTGCATTTTTCATCTCTTTGTAGTCGTTTTAAAGTCTAAAATATGCAAGTTGTGGTCATAGTCTTTTCCAGTATATGTGTTTAATAAGTAGTGAGTTATTTCTTTTAATTTTATTTTAAAGAATCAGGAGTTTAACACATTTTTAACATAAAAATCCCTTGTTTCAGAAGAGTGAATCAAATTGCACAGTATTTAGAATATAATTCCTAGATGGATTTAGCATTTAAATTATCCCTCTATTAATAAACACTTATGAGCCAACTGAATTTTCACTTTTTACAGTGATTAATTCAGCCAGTGTTACTGCTCTCCTGCCATGAACATAGATCTGATAAATCTTCATATCAGCCTTGTTCTTTATTATTCTGCCATAATTGGATGATAAGATGTTTACTTAAAATGATTAATATCATTGATAATTGGAGCCAGTTTTCCTTCATGCTAAACCATAAATATTGGTGCATGTTTTGAACTTAATGAATATTTTATTTCTGACTTTTTCCAGAAAACCACATTTTTGTTATGAAATATTTAATTTACTATGGTATACTTTAGATAAGAATAAATGAGGATATTAAAATTATTTGTGAATGTCTGGTTCACACCCCACTAATTACAGGATCAGAGTCTGAGATTCACAAAGCCACGGCTTGTCCCAGATGTCTCTTGCTCAATGTGACTTCTCCTCTCTCCATATATATCAAGGGACTTCCCTTTTTTTTTTGTTGGTTTTTATGCTAAATAAAATTCTAAAAGGAAAATAAAACTCTTACTACCAAAAAGAAATGCACAGATGGTATTCATTGTTCAGGGGGGAATATTAGAAAACCTGTTTGGTGAAATTTTATCTTTTAGTGTTGAAAGGAATAGTTGTCCTAACATACTATGTATGTTAAGGAAGTAATTTTATTTCATTCTGGCAACTGTGTTTTTTAAGAGAAAGCTTTTTTAAAAAAAGACATCTGTGTAAAACTTGAGTCATGTGTTACCTGCTGTCATAGAAACCACAGACTTTACTCATGCTTCCCTGAAAAGCTGCCAACTTTGAGTTTATTGCATTTAGTTATTGAAGGACTTTGGTGAGGCTAGGTTTTATCTTTCTTTATGTCACCTCTTCTTGTGTGATTATGAATATTTCTGATAAAATATCCCACTGATTAAAAGAGGAGGAAGTTGGTAAGTTACATCAGTGCTGTATTTTATTAGTTGGAAGTCTGCTTTCGGTCTTAAGTGGTGTCACAGAAAAGAGTTAGGACTAAGCTTTTTTTCCTGGGTGAGGCAGGGAAAAGTGTTGAGCTTTCCCCAGGAGCAATAGCAAGTTAGTTTGCTGAGGACAGCTGTCACTCTTCAGTTCCATTTTGTGATCAGTCAGAGATTCCAGATGCTGCCCAGAAAGGGTAAGGGGCATTCAGTTTTGCTCGAAGATTACTTTGAGATTATTCACATGTATCAGTGAATGTGTTTTTATGTTATATTGTTCCTCCTTTGGCAATTCTGGTTTTTAATGCCAATATTTAATATTGAAAATTCATCTATTTTCATGAAAGGTTGTAAGTGTAATTGGAAAGCTTGGCTATAATAGCCAAGTGAAATATTTCAGTTTAAGCAAGAACTTCAAAAATGTTAGTATACTCCCACTTCTGTCATATTCTCACCATCATGTTTAACTGTTCTTAATGTCTTTGTTGAGAGACCTTCAAAAATTGAGGCCATTCTTTACATATTCACATTTCCACTGGTCTTGTTGCACATTAATACTACTTTAACCCCCTTAAAATGTTTGAACTTTAAGTTCTTTTTGTGGTTCTGCAGAGAGACTTTGGGCAATCCGTATCCTTGCACTTCTTCATTTTTGGCCGTTTTATGAATCATAGTAGTCATTACCACTGAGATACACTCTAATTCTCAAAACCTGAAATCTCAGGCTTGGGCTGATTTGGGCATGATTAAAACAGAAAGAGCCTGCTTTTGCCAATTTTATCTCTTTATGATTCACATATTTATCATTATTTGGCCCTCTTTCAAGGTGCTTCAGGGCAAATTAACACACAGGCCTATATTTCTCAGACACTAGGCTTCTCCCCTTCACCATATCCCTTCATGATCTACCCATTTCCTGTATTTATTACCTGTTCTGTACAGTATATCAGATTTTGATTATGTTGCTATCAGCAACCTGAGTGTGAAAGAAAAATCTGTCCTACCCAATAGCAAGATGAGCAACATAGGTTGACATCAGATTATTTAGGACTTTGAATATGGTCTAAGTTTGTATTTTTTTCTGTAGGCAATGGGGATCTTTAAAGTTTTTCAAACAAAACTTCACAATGGTACATGATTATAGAATCTTACTAGGGTTTGTAAATCCTAGAAAGGGGGAAGGGAAAAGTAAGCAGTCTTGAAGGAGTCAGGATGGCTCACTTCTGGGCTGTGATTTGCTATCCTCTCATTCCTCCCCAGCAGTTTTAAAGATGAAACACAAAACATTGTCTCACAGTAACTGTAGAAGACAGAGCATTGAATATAACCTTGTGTTAATTTGCTTGCCAAGTCATAGAATAGCATAACAGGGAAAGTTTATGGAATAGGATAATCTGTGGCAATCTAAACCTCTTTAGAGTATGTTTGGTAGCCGAGCTGCTTCTCGGGTGACTGAGAATGGTGGGTTCGGTCCTCTGTGCCCCCCTGGGCTGTTCATGTCTCTCTCTTCTCTTCATGCTTCCTTTGCCTCTCTTCCTTATTCTTTCTTCTCTTAGATTTCTTCTCCAGATTGACCAAGGAGGGGTACATTGTAGCAGGTCAGATAACTCATCTGATGCCCAAGGTTTTCAGTTGAATCTTAAGGATTGAGATAATTTTCCTTAGCAGTTCATTGGAAATGAGGACAGAAGCTGCAGAGGGAAGTCAAGGCTGGTTAGAGCTGTGCGGTTGACTGAGCTTGTGAAAGGACCACATATGGAAGTAGAAGATGATAGGAGGTCCTTAGGAAGCATCCATAGTCAAAGGGCGTATTCACCTTTTAGCGGACATAGTATTTATAATCCCAACACTGCACTGAGTGCCTGTCAGTCCATTACACATCACACACACGTTCTCTCCCATATTAATTGACTCATACCGTCTTCCTCCCTTTTTCCCCTCTTCCTCTCTATGCCACCTTCCCTGTCCTGACCTCAGGTAGCCTGGACCTACTGGAAGCAGCCCTCTGACCTCTGCCCGATCGTAGCAATTGCAACTCGGTCCAGCCCTGACAGGGAATGTCTTATTAGACAAATACTACACAGGGAGGAGGGGCTAATAGACTTTGATTTTGAAATGTTCAGTGAAGAATCTAATGAAACTAGACCATGTCTTGATAAAACTGTCACAGAAGTACCTCATAAAATATAGGTATA